GAGTTGGCAGGGAGCCGGGGCTTCTGGTGCCGTACAGGTGGGCCAGAGCTAGGTGTGGGGGAAGGGGTGCAGGGGGTATAGGGGCAGGGTGGGAGCTTGGGGGAAGGGTGGAGCAAAGCTGAAGCATTGGGGACATGGTGCTTTCTGCCCTGGCCCCAGTGACTCGAAAGTTGGCTCTGCTAAAGGGTGCTGCTGAATGCGCCCCGCCCGTGCACCCTTGCCCCTGCCAACAGCTGCATAGCTCACAATGGAGACATCGCCCATTCTCATTAACTAGCCCATCATAAGACGGGATTTTCAGGTCTCTCCTCCACGTCAGTCTTCTCTCCTGAGCCTCCGGTCTCTCACTCTCCCACCCTCCCTCCTTATCCTCTGGGCCCGCAGGCCTCCTTATCAGCAAAAGGAGTTTTGCCAGAGGTTGGGAAGCAGCTCCAGCCTTCTCCAGCCTGTTATTTATTTACTAGCCAATTAGCCCAGCATAAGACGGGATTTTCAGGTCTCTCCTCCATGTCGGTCTTCTCGCCTGAGCCTCCAGTCTCTCGCTCCCTCTCTCTCTCTCCTCCTCCCTCCCCCCATTCTCAGCTCTCCTCCGCCTCCTGCCTCTCTCTTTCTCTTCTCCTCCCGCCTCTCACTCGGGGGAGCGTGGAGCCCAAACGGTCGCTTGTGCCACTTGCTCCCATGCGGCGGGCTGCCCGGGGGCACAGAAGTCAGCCAAGCGCCACATCAAGAGGCAAAGTACACAGCCAGCCCCTGCCCATGTATGTCACTGCCCCGCCCCCCTTCCCCTCCCGCCGTGGCGCTCGGCTGACTTCTGCGCTGCTCAGCCGGGCCACTGCAGGGGAGCAAGCGACCTGCACTCCCCAGGTAGCACACGCCACCCAGAGGGACCAGCCAGCATTTCAGCCTCACAGACATTGGGCTATTTCTCATTAATGCTCTCAGAGGGGAAGGGGGAAGCTCCCACTTCTCCACACTCTCGTCCCCAAGCTCTCCGCACTCACAGGGCGGGGGTTGTTTGACACAACAGCTGAGTTCCTGGCAAAGTTGCTGGTGTAACTGCCACCAGGCGGATTTGAACCTGGGATCTCTGAAGCTTAGTATAAGAGACTTTACAGCTTGAGCGATGAAGCCAGCTGGCTCTCAGCCCAGGCTGTAGAGGTCTCGTGTTCTTATCTGTTGCTGTGGTCTAAGTGCCACTGCATGGGACAGTGAACCGCACCAGGCGCTTTGATTACACTGGCAGCTAGCGAGCGGTGCCAGGCCCCATCCCTCTGCAGCTCTGTGGTTCACAAGGGAACAATGGGAGCAAATCCCACTTTGCTAGGCAGTAAAAGCTGCAAAAGAGCTCACGGATACTGTGTTCTGCCACAGGCTCCTTGTGTGACCCTGGGCAAGTCACTTAGTTCTCGGGGAACGGCGTCACGGCACCAAGCAACTGTCAGCTGCCTTGAACAGAATCCTGGTCTCATAGGACTGGAAGGGGCCTCGAGAGGTCACTGAGCCCAGTCTCCTGCCCTCTCGGCAGGACCAAGCACCATCTAGATTATCCCTGACAGGTGTCATCCACCCTACTCTTAAGTGTCTCCATGATGGAGATTGCAAAACCCCGCCCCTCCCCCCCGAGGCAATTTAGTCCAGTGCGTAACCACCCTGACAGGTAGGACGTTTGCCTCTCCTGCTGCAGTTTAAGTTCATTACTTCTTGTCCTGTCATCAGAGGCCACGGAGAACAATTTTTCTCTCTCCTTCCCTCTCTTGCAGTACTTGAAAACTGCTATCATGTCTCCCCTCAGTCTTCTCCAGACAAGACTGAATAAACCCATTTTCTTCAGTCTTCCCTCACAGCTCATGTCCTCTAGACCTTTCATCATTTTTGTTGCTCTTCTCTGGACCTTCTTCAATTTCTCCACCTCATTCCTGAAATGTGGTGGCCAGCTGAGGCCTACTCAGCACAGAGTAGAGCAGGAGAGTTTCTTCTCATGACTTGCTTACAACATTCCAGGCCTTGGATCCCCTCGGATGGCCCTGTTCTTGGGTCATGTCTCTTGGGCGAGGAGTATAGAGGAGTGGGTCAATGGGGGCAAGAGGGGGTGGGAAGAGATGGGGGGTTGCTCTGGGCCCTGTAGGAATGGTCCTGCAGATCATTGAAGATCTCCTGGCTAAGCCATTCCTATGATTGGCAGAGTTGGCTCAAAATGTCTGAAAAAACGGCCAACTCTCTTTAACTCTTTCTCCCCTTAGATTTGCTTCCCATAAAACCCTCCCTACCAACTCCCTGAGTTTGACACTGTCGTCCTTCCTGAAAGCCATCACCTTCATTTTGCTCTTCTCCCTCCTACCACATTCACCCAGGCTGCCTCCCACTTCAATACTCAACCTGTTCCTCCTTGTTTGTCAAGCTCCAGTCGAGAGCCCCACCTGCATCCCCGGCCTGCCAGGTCTCTTCACCTGCCAGCTCCTGCAAGAGCAGACCCACTGTTTGGCTATGTCTACACAGGCGGGTTATTGCGCAAGAATCCGCAGAGCGTCCACACTGCCCGCCCGCTCTCGCGCAAGGAAATGTACAGTACGGCGTGGTAAGAGAGGGCTCCTTGCACAAGAGCTACGCTCTTTTCTAACAGATGTAAGCCATCTTGTGCTGGAGATCTTGCGCAAGAGGGCAGTGTGGACATTCCGCAGGGATTTCTTGTGCAAGAAAGCCCTATGGCTAAAATGGCCACCAGAGCTTTCTTGCGCAAGAGAGCGTCCACACTGCCATGGGTGCTCCTGCGCAAAAGCACAGCTCGCACATGGCAGTGTGGACGTTTTCTTGCACAAGACTTCTTGCACAAGAACCCTTGCACAAGATGTTCTTGCGCAATAAGCCGCCAGTGTAGACATAGCCTTTGTGTCCTTAGCTTGCACACAGATTACTTTTCTCCAGCAACAGCTAATCTGCTTGGTGTGGTAGCAGTGCCAGTAAGCGCTGTGTGGCTGCTGACTTTCCCAGCACTGCACGGTGTCTGGGCTGATGTGGCCATCTCGGATAAGGTTCCATGAGTGGGAAAGTGGCCAGAAGAGTAGGGTGTTGTCTCCAATTCACGGCGCTGTTGTGTTGACCCCCTCTTGCCTCGAATGCCGCATATAAGATTTATATGGAAGAAAAGGAAATATAAATACAAAAGTAAGAAACTGAGTATTGTGTTAAATTTGAATATGCCCTCGCCCTCCCCATCCCCGCACAGGTTTCCGTGTAGCATCCTTGCTGACTGCTAATGTTGGCCCTGAGGAAGCCACTAGACTCCAGCGTATCATGAAGGAAACTGCAAACCTCTCTGGTTAAAAATAAATAAAGGGGGGTGTCTAAACCGTGTGAGGCTTTTCGGTTTTGTGTGCTCTCAGGTTTATTTTGGGGCCCCCAAAACCTGCTCGCGGCCCTCTCAGCTCCCAGCTGAGTACCACAGCGCTAGAAGGCGCTTTCACCTGTGGGAGGGCCAGCAGCTGTAGGGTGAGAGGCAGAAACCACAGGCCTTTTGCCTGTTGTTCTCCTTGGCACATGTCATCCTCGTGTGGCAGGCTGGGATTTTCCCACTGGATTGTGATACGGAGGCTTGGGAAAGCCCAGCCTAGGCTGCAGCTCTCTCATGTCTCTGTTCTCAGGTGGCAGGAGGGAGAGCTCTTCCCTCCAGCCCGTGAGCAGCGGGAGTGGTGCTGGGAGGAGCCGCCACGGCACTTAGCCCAGAGTAGCACAGCTTGCACGGAGCACTGCAGGCCTGGCCTTCGCGCAGTGAGAGCAGAACTCTCGCCGCTCACACAGATCCTCCTGCGGTTTGCATGGCTTGGGTGCCAGCTGGCTGCTGGGGAGCAGACTGCAAATACATTCTGGGCTGTGATTAGCCAGTGACAGGCCAGACAGGAAGGGCGATCAACTGGGGCACCCTCTTTTTGGGGAGGAGGAGTCACATCTGGGCACCTTCCCCAGAATGTTCATCAGACTCCTGCTGGTGAGCGACCAGAGCCTGCCCCAGGGCTCATCACACAACTCCCAGCCTTTCGCTTTCTCTGGCGCTGGGAGGAAGCCCCAGTGTTGTTTTTGCTCCCCACGTGACGGCTGCAGAGAGGACGCCCGGCGGAGGAGGAAGGAAGGCGGCAGCTGACCTAGAGAGATAGCTCTCCCAGGGAGACGGGCTTTCCTTCTGCAGGGTGTGCTGCAGGGGAATGGAAGGATCAACATGGGGAATTCCCCTCCTGCTACAGGAGGACAAGATGCCTTCGAGTCAGGCCCAGGGGGTTGGGAGGAGAGGGAACCCTCTTCTCTTAGCCCAGAGTCGGGGCCCTTCTAGGCAGGGCTGAGGTGAGCAGGATGTTAGCAGGAGGAGCATAGGGCTGAGCTGCCATGGGTTCCCTTTGCTCAGGGTCCCTGGCATGTCAATGCAAAGCAGGCTACGGGGCCTGATCCCTTGCACTTGGCCTGTTGAGAAGACAGTGCTTGGCCCCGGAAGGGTGGGCGACAGAAATTCACTAGCTCACTCCTTCCTCTGTTCTCTCACGCAGACGTGGACAGTAGGGATGAGGACTCCTCCCAGACACTTTTCTTCCACCCTTCCACCTATGGCTCCAAGATCCGCCTGTACGAGTCCTGCCAGGTGGCCGAGCGGATTGACTCCTTCCATGACGGCATCATCTTCACCAGCCGGCCCATCCATCTCCACGAGAGGGTGACACTGAAGATCTTGAAGAAAGAGGGCCCCTGGCATGGGGGGCTGAGGGTGGGCTTCACCTCCATGGATCCCTTGGAGATAGATGCCAGCCTTCTGCCTCCCTTTGCCTGCCCCAACCTGGTCTTGCAGGGCAGGACCTGGGCTGCAGTTCTGCCCGATGTCTGTGGAGAGGAAGACACCGTCCTCACCTTCTGGGTGGACCACAGGGGCAGGGTCTTCTTCGGCAGGCAGCAAGGGGTCCAGGACATTCTCCTGTTGAAAGGCGTCCCCGTGAGAGCCCCTCTCTGGGCCATCGTTGACGTCTATGGACACACCAAGGCGGTCCAGCTCCTGGGTGAGTGTGCGGCAGCACTGGGGACGGAGTCAGGCTGCAGGGATTCCCCGGCGGAGGGGAGGGTGGAGTGCACGGGTGGCACAGGAGTGGTGACTGGCCCAGGGCAGGGAGAGCCTGGCACGGCACGGCTACCCTTTGGCGAGTGGGGAGAGAGGCAGAGTTCTCAGCCCACCCTCACCTCACCCCCCCTGACTGCGGGGGAGGGAAAGGCCACCCCGACTGCCCCTTCACCCACCATTGCCTGGGGGGGTGAGGAGGGGCTGTCAGGCAGCCCCCTCAGGTGGTATGATCAGCTTTCCTGCCCTCTGAGCTCTGCACAGACAGCTGCCCTGGAGGGCTTGGCCTGGCAGCCCTGCCTGGGTGCCTGTTTCCAGGGTAGATTCTGGTCTCCTGGAGCAAGCAGCCCAGGCCAGGCTCCTTCGAGGGAGGTTTGCATTTGCTGAGGCTAATCCTCGACTTTGTGGTTTTCTGCCCTAGATCCCACAAGGCTCTGTGGAGACGCTGGGGAGCCTGCCCCACCCCTCAGCCCGTTCCAATCTGACGTGCTGCTTGGTCAGTGGCTGGCGTGGCTCTTACTCTCTCTGACAGTGTCTCGGGGCCCCAAATGGGACAGTCCCACACCCAGCAGGTGCGAGGGTTACTCGGGCACCTGGCAGGCAGAGGTCTGGAGACACCCTGCGCAGGTGGCTGTGTCCCTGCTCATGCTGGTTAACAGCCACACCTGGTGGCTGTAGGGGAAATGCCGTCCCATGAACTGGGTGCTGTGGCCTGGCCATGCCGGTCCCGGGAGACTCAGAGCTCTGGTTGAGTGACAGCCCTGTCCATCTGCCCATTCAGGGAGTCCCAGCACAGGAGAGGGGCCCGGGAGCTGAAAAATGCCTTGAAATCCAGTCACTGCAGGGCACCCACTCCAGGAGCTGCTCCCCAGGGCGCTAGCGCTTCCCCCGCAGGCTCAGGCTGGCCGCGGCGCGTGCAGACACACGGCTGGGACCGACGCCCGGCCACTCCGGGGCAGCAAGCACCCTCTGGCAGGCTCTTGTCACTGACTCAAAGCAGCCTGTGGCCGTAGACAGGGTACAGAGGCACGGCTGGCTGCCTCCCTGCTGCCACAGGCCCCTGGGCAAGGGGAGGGTAAGGGGGTGGCCCGGAAAGGGGGCGGGGCCAGGGCAGCCAGCCCTCAGTGCCACCTGGATCACGCACTGGAACCCCCCAGCTGAGAGCCGTGTGGGGCTCCGGTGGTGATTTAAAGGGTCCGGCCACTGCCACAGCCTGGATCCTCAGGCCCCTCTGAGTCGCCGGGCCTTGGAGCAACTGCCCTGCCTCAGTGGGCCGGCACGGGCTAGTCGTTACCCCAGCATGCATCTTTTTGGGTGTCAGGGAAGAAGCTGGACTAATGCCATGCTCCTGTCTCTCCAGCGCCGGCGTGCAGGGAGTTCCACGGCCGCCCGGAAGGGTGTACCGAGCCGTGTGTCATTTGCTTCTCGCACGAGACCAGCGCTCTGCTGCATCCCTGCGGCCATGCCAGCTTCTGCTACTGCTGTGCCCAGAAGGTGTTCAGAAGAAGCGGCCTTTGTCCCCTCTGCCGGGGGCAGATACAGAACATCAGCCAGGCCAGGCTGGGAACCTGAGCGGGGGCAGCAGTGCCCCTCACCTCTGCCATGGCACCTGGCCCTCGCCAGCGCTCTGCTAGCCCAGGGAAGAGGGCAGTGGAGGGATCTGTGAAAGGGCCTCTGGAGCCCTGCGAAAGAGCCTCCTCCTCTGAGCAGGGACTTATGCAGGGCAGGCGCTAAGAGACCTTCTGGGGCAGGCGTCTCCCCACTCCCAACAGTCCTGCTGCACCCCCCACGTCTCGCCCCTCGGAGAGGACAGGCCCGGGAGACCCTGCAAGCCAGCCTGTGGGATGGAAGGGGAGATGCCCAGGAGAGCCCCTGAGATGGGGGTGACTGTCATGAGGGCTCCGTCCCCCCCTAGCGTGTTGCTCAAGTGGCACAGCTTTGTGGGTCTCGGCCCACAGCTGGCTGACCACCCCCCCGCACTGTGCCGTGTGCTGCTGCCCCAGGATCCCACCCAGGCCCCACACAGGGGGGGGCCACTGGAGTCGACAGGCATCGCTTGATTTGTGGCCGTGAGCCAATGGAGGCCCTGGGTGGTCGGGGTTCTGCACCTTGGCAGGACAGACAGAACCAGGGACCGACGGCGCCTCTGGTCCCAGGACACTCATCATAAGGGAATTCCTCCTATGGAGCAAAGCCTGCCACAGCAGAGGCCCGAGCACTCTGGGGAGTGGAAAAATGCCTGGAATTTCCTGCTGTTTTGGGGAGAAGAATTCCATGGAGCCAGCCCCATGGGGGCCTGCGTCTGAGCTCCGACTGCATGGGAGGGAGATTTCCTCTTCAGGTGCCTTGGGGATACACCGTCCCACAAATATCATTTCGTTAGGGCCTGATTCTGGGCCCTACTCTTGCCTGCCATTTACATTCCAGGGGCCCGGAGCAAGCCCCTGCTCTGTGCTGTGCCTCGGTTTCCCCATCTGGTCGCACGGCCCCCTTTTGTAAATGGTTTTGAGACCTGGGTATTGTTTGCCATTGGTTTTGCATCAGGCCCTGTCATTTGAGACTAAATGTGGCACAGACTGTGAAAACCCAGGGCAGATGCTGATCAGTTACACAAGGGTCGATCCAATGTGACGACAGCCCCCCCC